CTGCACGTCATGAGTGGCCGGGCCTTTGGCAGCGTCTGCCGTGAGCCTGGGGTTTGGGCTGATGTGCTCAGCCGCTCGTCTGCTCTCAGCCTCTCATTAGCGCGACCTTCACTCCCTGACCTTGGAGCGCGTCTGCACAGCAGAGCAGAGCAGAGCGGAGCAGAGCAGAGCAGAGCTTGCTCACGCTTCCCCAACCCCGTCAGCAATCAGTCAGAGGTCACTGCTGGCATGCCGTGACTGTGCGATGAGCCCTCTTCCCCCCCCCCCCCCCACCCCGCACCCCCCGCCCCCGCCCCCGCGAATTTCACAATGCATAAATAATAATGCGGTCGCACAACCCACGGCTGTTTGTGTGGAACGCTGCCGTGCGCAGTTGGCTGCTGCGTTTCGCCCGCACACACACACAGAGACTCACCCACACAGACACACAGGGTCACACACACCGAGACACACACAGAGAGAGAGACTCACCCACACAGACACACAGGGTCACACACACCGAGACACACAGAGAGAGCGACTCACCCACACAGACACACAGGGTCACACACACCGAGACACAGAGAGAGAGACTCACCCACACAGACACACAGGGTCACACACACCGAGACACACAGAGAGAGAGAGACTCACCCACACAGACACACAGGGTCACACACACCGAGACACAGAGAGAGAGAGAGAGAGAGACTCACCCACACAGACACACAGGGTCACACACACCGAGACACAGAGAGAGAGAGAGAGACTCACCCACACAGACACACAGGGTCACACACACCGAGACACAGAGAGAGACTCACCCACACAGACACACAGGGTCACACACACCGAGACACAGAGAGAGACTCACCCACACAGACACACAGGGTCACACACACCGAGACACAGAGAGAGAGAGACTCACCCACACAGACACACAGGGTCACACACACCGAGACACAGAGAGAGAGAGAGACTCACCCACACAGACACACAGGGTCACACACACCGAGACACAGAGAGAGAGACTCACCCACACAGACACACAGGGTCACACACACCGAGACACACACAGAGAGAGAGACTCACCCACACAGACACACAGGGTCACACACACCGAGACACACACAGAGAGAGAGACTCACCCACACAGACACACAGGGTCACACACACCGAGACACACAGAGAGAGCGACTCACCCACACAGACACACAGGGTCACACACACCGAGACACAGAGAGAGAGACTCACCCACACAGACACACAGGGTCACACACACCGAGACACAGAGAGAGAGACACAGACACACAAGGTCACACACACCGAGACACACACAGAGAGAGAGACTCACCCACACAGACACACAGGGTCACACACACCGAGACACACAGAGAGAGCGACTCACCCACACAGACACACAGGGTCACACACACCGAGACACAGAGAGAGAGACTCACCCACACAGACACACAGGGTCACACACACCGAGACACAGAGAGACTCAGACACACAGGGTCACACGCACTGAGACACAGGGAGAGAGAGACACAGAGGGTCACACACACCGAGACGCAGAGAGACTCACTCACACAGACACACAGGGTCACACACAGAGAGACTCAGACACACAGGGCCACACACACCGAGACACAGAGAGAGAGACTCACCCACACAGACACACAGGGTCACACACACCGAGACACAGAGAGACTCAGACACACAGGGCCACACACACCGAGACACAGAGAGACTCACCCACACAGACACACAGGGTCACACACACTGAGACACAGAGAGAGAGAGAGACAGGGTCACACACACAGACACAGAGAGAGAGAGAGACAGCGTCACACACACTGAGACACAGAGAGAGATACACACACACGTAGTGAGAGACACATATGGTCACACACACTGAGAGAGAGAGAGACACACACACAGTGAGAGACACATAGGGTCACACACACTGAGACAGAAAGATAGAGAGACACACAGTGAGAGACAGAGAGACACACAGGGTCACACACACTGAGACAGAGAGGCACACAGTGAGAGACAGAGAGAGAGGGACACACTGAAACACACACAGTGAGAGACAACAATGAGACAGAGAGACACACAGGGTCACACAAACTGAGACAGAGACACACAGGGTCACACACACACTGAGACAGAGAGAGACATATACACACACACTGAGACAGACTGAGAGAGACACACAGGGTCACACACACTGAGCGACTGAGAGGAGGCACACACTGAGACAGAGAGACACACACTGAGAGACACAGACACTGAGACAGAGAGACACACACACTGAGACAGAGAGACACACACGCACTGAGAGACACAGACACTGAGACAGAGAGACACACACACTGAGAGACACAGACACTGAGACACACAGACAGACACACACACACTGAGAGACACAGACACTGAGACAGAGAGACACACACACTGAGAGACACAGACACTGAGACGCACAGACAGACACACACACACTGAGAGACACAGACACTGAGACAGACTGAGACAGAGAGACACACACACTGAGAGACACAGACACTGAGACAGACTGAGACAGAGAGACACACACACTGAGAGACACAGACACTGAGACAGACTGAGACAGAGAGACACACACACTGAGAGACACAGACACTGAGACACACAGACAGACACACACACAGAAAGAGTCAACGTGCAGCGCCTCGAGACGTCTCAAAGCGCTTCACGGCGTACACTGGGAAGTGGAGTGACTGTGTATTTTGTGGGTGAAACTCGGTGATCGGTTCGCGCATAGCGCGCGTGTGAGGGGTGGGGGGCGCGGGGAGTGTGTATATGTGTCCCGAGTGTGTAATGGCACACGACTGTTTGTGTGCAATTGGCCGCCGACAAAATACACAGTCACTACACTCGGAATGCACGGATTATTATTATGCGTGTGGGGTTGGGGTTAATTTGTTCTGTCCCTTTAAGAGTTGGGGGGAGGGACAGAAATTAAAGACCCCGCCCCATGCTCATCAGTTGCCCAATCACAGTGTGGGGGGCGGGGTTGTAGCGGGCTATCCCTGAGATGATTGGTTGACTGGGCTGTCGATCAAGCCTGCAGGCCAGATTTGACGGACAGCAAAGCCAGCCAATCAGCTTATGGTATCGTCCTCACCCGCCCTGCTAGGCTCGCTACGATTGGGTAACCGATGAGTAGGGGCGGGTCCCACGGTTCCCCCCTCGTCAACTGACCAGATTTGATTGACAGGCGAGCGAACCAATCATCTCGGAGTATCGCCCACGCCCCCCCCTCGGGTCCGGCAGACGCGCTATGATTGGGTGAGCGCCGAGCGGGGGCGGGTCCCCTCGCGCGCGGCTCGTCACCAACCGCCCCGCCCGCTTTGACTGACAGCTCCGCCAGCCAGTCAGCGCTCGCTGCCGCCCGCCGGGCGCGCCGCGATTGGCCGAAGCGAAGGGGCGGGATGCCAGCTGGTGGGCGCGCAGGCGCAGAAGCCACAAGCCCGGGGTCGGACAGGCGAGGCGGGGCGGGCGGGCGAGCGAGCGAGTGAGTGAGTGAGCAAGATGGAGGGTTACGGCATCATCGCCAACCAGCCTGTGGTCATCGACAACGTGAGTCCCGGCTTCTCTCTCTCTCTCTCCCTCCGCCTCACGGTGCTGCAGTCCCCCGCGGCTCCCCCGGTGTCTGGCTGTCAGTCACCGCCTCAGCCTCCAACCGTCGCCGCTGCTCGGTCAGGAGGCCGCGCGCGGGCCTCTGGCTCCAATTAAAGGGATGGGGAATGGGATGGTCCTCGCCCCGCCCCCCCCCCCCACACACACACACACGGGATTTAATTTGGCCGACAGACACAACGCCATTGAAAAGGAGATGGCAGGGAGGATGGGGGATGGAGAGAGAGAGAGAGAGAGAGGGGGTGGGGGGCTGAGGGGGAGGGAGAGAGGGTGGGGGGGGGGGGAAGGGTCTCTCGCTTCATCCTTCCCCCTCTCTCGCTTCATCCTTCCCCCTCTCTCGCTTCATCCTTCCCCCTCTCTCGCTTCATCCCTCTCTCTCTCCTTTCCTCCCCCCTCTCTCCCTTTTGCCTTTCCACATCCTTTCTTACAAGACCCACAGTCACTACATTTTGCCACCCGCTGGTGCCCAGGCACCTCCCCACCTGCTGCTCTGTGTGTCTTGGCCCATCGTACTGGGATGTTGCCAGAGCTGGGATGGACGAGGCCGCCAATTTGCAAGACTTTTGACAGGTCCTCGGTTTAATATCTGGTCCAAAGAACAGCGCCTCGTAGACCCATACAAACAGGAGGAGGCCATTCAGCCCCTTGAGTCTGTTCCGCCATTCAGTTAGATCATAGCTGATCTGTACCTCAACTCCAAATATCCAGCTTTGCCCCATATCCCTTGATCCCCTGACCTAACAAATATCTATCCACCTCAGTCTTCACAATGTGAATGGTTCCAGCATCCACAGCCTTTCAATAATAATAATAATTTGGTCACTTAATCCACGACCGTTTGTGGGACACTGCTGTGTGCAATTGGCTGCTGCGATTCGCCCACAAAATATACAGTCAATTCACTTTATGGTGTTATTATAAAACTCTATTCCTTCAACCAAGTCAATAGATATATGGGGAAAAGCTAAGGCCCCAGTACAGACCCCTGGGGAACACCGTTTGTTGCATCCCGCCCATCAGTGAACGTTCCTTCGATCCCTATTCTCTGTTTCCTGCCTCCCGACCAATTTCCAAGCCACGTCGCAAGATTACCTCCCAATTCCATGCGCTCTTAGTTTTGCTGATAACCTCTTGTGTGGAACCTTATCAGATGCCTCCGAAAATCCATGCAGCCGACATCCACAGACACTCGCTTATCCACCGTGTTAGTGACCTCCTCAAAAAATTCAATTAGTTTCGTCAGACGTGGTCCACCTTTCACAAATCCATGCCGACTCTCTTTGATTAGCTCACACTTGTTCAAGTGCTCAGTCCCTCTGTCCCTGATGAGAGATTCCAGGTCTGTAGATATCTGGTTCTCCTTCCCTCCCTTCTTAAATAATGGAGTGACATTTTTAATCTTACAATCCGAGGGCACAATTCCCGAATATAGAGAGCTTTGGAAAGTTATGACCAACGCCTCTGCAATTTCCTCCTCTACCTCTTTTAATACCTTGGGGTGGAATCCATCCCAAGGGGATCAAACAGTGCAGTGCTTCCCTACAAGAGTGTCAACATTACCAACAACTTAATAATAATAGTGAATAATAGTCCTTGCATTTGATGTAACAGCTTAATACCTCGTTGAGCCATCTCAAAGCACTCCACAGAATATATTGTTATGTGGACTGACTGCAATTTGTGGGAGAAACACGGCAGCCGATTGTGCACAGCAGCGTCCCACAAACAGTCGTGGATTGAGTGACCAAATTATTATTATTATTATTTATTTGTGAAGGGATTATTAACCCCTGGAAAAGCGATCCGCCAATTGACTAACGGCCGGGCTCCTACTTACTGCTAGGGAAACAGAGGCGCGTGTGTGTGGAGTTATTTTTGCACTTCTGGAGCACCCTCGTGTCTCGGGAGTGCTTAATGTTCCTTCAGCCTAGTCTGGGGCTTCAACCCACAACCTTCTGACTCAGAAAAGAGTGCTAGAAACTGAGGCGGGCTCACCCCTTGAACTTCACAGTTAGTTGCTGTCAAGCGTAGTGACTGTGTGCTAGCAGACAGATGCAGTTTGTGAGATCCTCCACACAGCCATGAAGTAAGTCAATGACTGAGTTCGTGACGAGCTGCCACTGAGCAAATGGAAAAGGTCGTTATTATAACCATAGGAGTGGCATTGTGAATGTCTCATCAGCCCTGCAGCGCTTTCTCCCTTCATGTAGACTCCACTCGACAAATACCTACAGTTAGCATCTAGAGCAGTTACACTGGGTGTATGTATGGGTGTGTGTTTGACCACACCTTCAGTCATCCGCCCTGTCCGATTGCCTCCCCTCTTGCCTCCACCCCCCCCTTAATTCCTACTCCCAGTTCAGGTCCCAATCCCTGACTGTCCAGCGCCTTGGGGTCGTCCTCCCAATGTGAAAGGGAGGACTTGTTGTTGTTGCGTGTGTGTATGTGTATGGGGGTGGCTCTATAGTTGTTTAACTCGCAATGGAAAATGTTTTTGGTTAGCACTGTACTCGGTTAAATAATAAATAGGGCCCCGGTTGTTAGTCGATTAGCGGATTGCTTTCTGGGAGTAATAATCCATCCAAAAACAATTAATAATTTCCATGACTGTTTGTGGGGACGCTGCTGTGCTCAATTGGCTGCCGTGTTTCACCCACAAAATATACAGTCAATTCACTTTACAATATATCCTGTGAAGCGCTTTGAGGCGTCTCGAAGACGTGATAAGGCGCTGTATCAAATGCAAGGAGTATTATTTTTATATCTTTATTGATTTATTTTCACTCATGGAGGAGGAAGCCCTCCCTGTTGATCTGTTTCCCCGCAGACTAGAAATAAACAGCTCTGGATTGGCGGCTTGGGGTCGGACAGTCTTGGCAACTAACGACAGTTGTGTTTCCGTTAGCCTTTCCTCGGGTGCCAAAGCCAGATGACTGCCATAGCTGCCTTGTGATGTGTCTCCTAACAAAACAGGCCGGCCTTTCATGACGGCTGCATGCAAAGCTTTGAAAGTTTTTTTGTAGACGCTGGCAGCTTTAATGCACTGGGTGTGTCACTGGCTCTTTGTCTGGACGCCCTCTTTCCTGGTGCCAATGAAGTCACGTAAAGTGGCACATCGGCGAGGTTATTATTCGCTGTATCTGTGCTCGGCTGAAAGTCGCTTTGTTTTAAATGAACCGGCCACGTGATTCTCTGCAAACACATGATTCTGTGGGTTATTACACTTCCTCTATTTTTATCTTTCCAGGGCTCTGGGGTCATCAAAGCTGGCTTTGCAGGCGATCAGATTCCTAAATACTGTTTTCCCAATTAGTAAGTTTCTATTACTTCCTATTATTGTGCTGCTTGCCTGAGCTCCACTAACAAACAAGAGGACCCGGGTTCGATTCCCGGGCGGGGCGAAACCTTTGGCAAATTTCCTTACTCCACACGCCTCTGTTTACCCAGCAGTAAGTAAGAACCCGGTCGTTAGATGATTTGCGGATCGCTTTCCAGGCGTAATAATCCCTGGTGGAACGCACCACACCTTGTTTACCTAATTCGGCAGAGCATTAGCTGCAGGTTGGCAAGAGCTAAGGCTTGGGAACACCAGAGGGTGTGTTGGAGTAACTGGCGGAGTTCAAGCAGCTTAAACTGAATAGCTTGCCATTGAGAGCATTGCCTAGCCATACTTACCTGCCCTCTCCCCCGTACTCCTGTAGCTTCATGGAACTCTTTTATCAAATGTAAATATTTAGGCAAGATTCCTTACGCCACGCTCCTCTGTTTACCTTGTAGTCAGTAGGAACCTGGTTGCCAGTCGTTTGGTGGATCATTTTTCGGGGTAATAACAAATAATAAAATAAAAAGATAAATAATAATAATAATTTTTAAAAATTTATCCCACGACTGTTTATGCTTTTGAGACTCTCGACGACGTGATAAGGCGCTATAACAAATGCCAGGATTATTATTATTATTATTATTGTTCCTGAAGAGTGTAACTGAAAGCAATATTACAAGAAAGTCTTTTTCAACCTTTTTCTTTCTCTCCGCCAGTGTGGGGCGTCCAAAGCATGTGCGGGTCATGGCTGGAGCGCTGGAGGGCGATATCTTCATCGGTCCCAAAGCCGAGGTATTGAGTTTGCTCCTTCGCACGTCTGCTCATGAGAGAAATCTCGTCGTAATATTAATGATAATAATAATAATCCTCGCATTTGATATATTTCCGAGTTCCGTAGTTTATTGGTTAGAGCCAAGACCTGATAAGGCTCTATATCAAATTATTATTGTCAAAAACATAACTATTTACACTTGAGCTAAATTGGGTGCGTAATTCTTCTTTAATTAATTAATTTAATTTCTTTAATTAGCCTCAAAGCGCTGGAACACTCTCCCTCAATCTCTCTGCCTTGCCCCCTCTCTCCTTTTCTTCAAGTCCCGCCTGAAAATCTTCCTCTTCGACCGTGCTTACGGCCATCTCACCTCCTCCCCCGGCTCGGAGTCAGGCTCTGTGACTGTTAAGCGCTCTTGAGACGCTACCCGGTGTGGAGGTCTTTCCCCCCTCTCTTTCTCTTCCTCTGTTCAAACGTTCTCCTTTTCTCCCTCCTCATCTACTTCCCCCCACTTCCCGCCCCCATTGCCTCACCAATTCTCCTCCCTCTCCCCCACCCACTGTAGGAGCACCGTGGGTTGCTCTCTATCCGCTATCCCATGGAGCACGGGATAGTTCGTGACTGGAATGACATGGAGAGGATCTGGCAGTATGTCTACTCTAAGGATCAGCTTCAGACGTTTTCAGAAGAGGTGAGAGTCTCACAGTCGCTGTTGGGGTGGGGTTGGGATCTGCTGACTGCGGTGCGGGAGGCAGAGTGGGTGTGCCACCTCTCCAGTCGAATGGAGGGAGCAGGTAGTGGGTTGGGGAGTAAGCAGATGGGAGAGGTCGGGAGGTGCCAGGGAATGAAGGGATTTGAGGACGAGTGTGAGGATCTTGAAAATCAATCCATTCAGTGATAGGGAGCCTGGCGAGGGCTGGGGTGATGGGGGAAAGGGGTTTAGTGTGTGTGATAGGGAGCCAGTGTAGCCTGGCGAGGGCTGGGGTGGGTGAGTATGTGGGCAGTGGAGTTTGGGATTAGACAGTCACTGAGCAATTCTGTATCTTTTCAGCATCCAGTCCTTCTGACTGAGGCTCCACTGAACCCTGGCAAAAACCGCGAGCGAGCAGCAGAGGTCTTCTTCGAGACTTTCAACGTCCCTGCACTTTTCATCTCGATGCAAGCTGTGCTCAGTCTGTGAGTAATTATAATAATATTACAATAATAAGAATAATTACAGGCGACCGGCAGGTCTGTTCAGATCTTTCAGGCTAGTCACTGGGAACAGAGATTCCTCCCACTCAGCCCCTGTTAACCCTGCAGCTAAAGCCCTAACTAACGTGGTTCTAGCTGGACAAGCAGCGGGAAAGCTGGCCAAAGAGAGATATCAATGGCCAAGCTATGTGTGGGTTTAGATGGTTAGACTCCAGCAGTTACCCCAACGCACTCTCTGGGCTCCCCCTCAAGCCTTGGCTCTCGCCAACCTGCGCCTAATACTCTCCGGAATTAGGTTAGCGAGGGGGCGTCCCTCCAGGGAGAGAGAGAGCGCATTCCATTCCAACAATCTATATCTGGGGTTTCCAGGTGTGTGTAGGTGGGAGGCAGGGAATTCTCAGTTGGGTTTGGAGACTCTTAAGCCACATGTGTCAAGACTCCCGGCGGGTGGGGGGGAAAACAAAAATATATATATTTTGTGAGCGAAACGTGGCAGCCAGTGACATCCTTAGTGTATTGCTTCCCTGTTGATTGATCGAACAATGTGAATAATTGTTTGACCATTCGATCTCCCAAAAGCTTTCAAAATCTTGGAAGAGCATCTAGACTCGTAGAACCGTACAGCGCAGAAGTAGGCCATTCGGCCTGTGGTGTCTGTGTACTCTCTCCCACTCTGTACGCTCTCTCTCTCTCTGTGCCACAGTTACGCCACGGGAAGGACGACTGGTGTGGTGTTGGACGCGGGGGACGGCGTGACCCACGCGGTGCCAATCTACGAGGGCTTTGCGATGCCCCACTCCATCATGAGGGTGGACATCGCTGGCCGGGATGTATCCCGTTACCTCCGCCTGCTGCTCAGGAAGGAAGGCTACGACTTCCACACCACCGCGGAGTTCGAAGTGGTCAAAACCATCAAAGAGGTGAGTGCGTGCACGCGCGTGTGTATCTGCGTGCGCGCCACACAGGAAGCGACCGTACACGAGCGTGTGGAATCCACGCGCGCGCGTGTGGGTGTGGGTGTCCGTTTGCATACTGCACCGGAAAAGACCTTAGATGTGGAGTCGCCGTAGCGGAGTGGTTACAACCGGGGGCGATACCTTCGGCAAGTTTTCTTAGGGGATGGGGTGCGAATGCAAGTTGTTGTTGTTGTTCACAAGCAGCTCAATGTGGGCCTTTGGTTTTCAGCGGGCCTGTTACCTGTCCATCAACCCCCAGAAAGATGAGACCCTGGAGACGGAGAAAGCTCAGTACACACTGCCCGACGGCAGCACCCTGGAGGTGTGTGAGAGTGTGTGTGTGTAGGTGTTGCAGGCTGTGTGTGTGTGTGTGTGTGTGTGTAGCAGGCGGTGTGTGTGTGTGTAGGTGTTGCAGGCTGTGTGTGTGTGTGTAGCAGGCGGTGTGTGTGTGTGAAGGTGTTGCAGGCTGTGTGTGTGTGTGTATGTGGCTGTGGTGACCAGCTCAGTACCTCTGACCTGCAGGTCGGGCCCTCACGGTTCCGAGCCCCTGAGTTGCTGTTCAAGCCGCACTTGATAGGAGACGAGAGCGAAGGAATTCACGAGGTGTTGGCTTTTGCCATTCAGAAATCTGACATGGATCTGCGGAGAATGCTCTTCTCGAACATTGTGTTGTCTGGCGGCTCCACCCTGTTCAAAGGTAACCTCAGGGCATTTTATTGTCGTTTGCCAGCTCGTTTGACTGTCTACAGGGTGTCCACAAAGTCCTGTTGCGCCCCACACCTGCCCCCTTTCTGTCTCTACAGCGCACTGACCCACACTGAAACGTGGAAGAATGATGATCATTGTATTTAGAAGTACTTCATTGTGTTCAGTAACAAGTGTTCAACTCTGTTTAGACTTATGTGGTTAGAGCGCTCGACTCGCAAGCGAGAGAGGACCCGGGTTCGATTCCCAGGCGGGTCAGGTCAGGGTGGAACATTAGGCAAGTTTCCTTACTACACACGCACACACACACACATGTCTCTGTTTACCAGCACTAAGTAGGAACCCAGTTGTTAGTAGATTGGCGGATTGCTTTTCGGGGGTAATAATCCCTTCAAAATAATAATTATTATTGGGTCACTTAATCCACCACTGTTTGTGCGCAATTGGCTGCCGTGTTTCACCCACAAAATATCCAGTCAATTCACTTTGCAGTGTATCCTGTGAAGCGCTTTGAGACCTCTCGAAGACCCGATAAGGCGCTGTATCGAATGCAAGGATTATTATTATTATCGCCGTGTCTTTACTCTTTACCCAATGTGAGTTGTGATGTTTCAGGTTTCGGTGACCGGTTGCTCAGTGAAGTGAAGAAACTGGCTCCAAAAGATGTGAAAATAAAGGTAAAGGACAGTGCGGGGGGAGAGGGGGCACGGAGTGGGGGCTATGTCTGGGATTTTCATGTGTACGTGGGATACAGGGAATTCTCAGTTTGGTTTGGAGACTCTTAAGTACGGTGTTGGGTTTCCATGTACGTCTTCAGCCGTGACCTGATGACAGGGAAGGAAGGGGTAAAGCAGAGGGATAGAGGAAGAGAGTTCCAGAGTTTCGGGGAGCAGTAGCTGAAAGCGCGGCCGCTGATGGTGGAACGGAGGGCACGAGGGACAAGCAGGAGGCCAGAGCCAGCCATGCAGAGGCAGGGAGGTGCCAAGGCGGGAAGGGATTTGAATACGAGTGCGTGAGGATCTTGAAGTAAGCAGGTCGGATTTGGGGGGGTTAGTCAGATCAGCCTGTTTCCCCATCAGCTATCTGGCGGGCATCTGCCTTCAGCGTGGTTGGGAGGACCGTTGCAGGACAGCTTGTGACGTGCCAGCCACCTTCTGGAGGTCCAAGTCCAGTGCCATGTAGGGCCGTCGAAGAGGAGGGTCTTGAGATCTCAAAGCGATTGCTGGGGGGAGGGACGTGATGAGCCCGGCACAGAATACGAGCAGCTACTCGACGTGTTTGTGTTTCTCTAGATCTCGGCCCCTCAGGAGAGACTGTACTCCACGTGGATCGGGTAAGTGCTGGGGCCGGGGTTTTATCTCTCTGTGCGTTTGCTGCGGGTGGGGGTTGTTGAAGGGGTCGTTGTGCCTTGTTTGTTCTCCTGCACCTGAGGTTGGAGGCTCAGTCCCGTTTCACCTCGGCTCAGCGCGGCCATCGACGGAGGCACGAGAGACAAGCAGGAGGCCAGAGCCAGTCGAGTGGAGGCAGCGGCAGTGGGGTGGGGGGTGAGCAGGAGGGAGAGGTATGAAAGGATTTGAAGACGAGTGTGAGAGGATCTTGAAGTCGATCCCTTCGGTGATTGGGAGCCAGTGATGGGGTGATGGGGAGACGGGGTTTAGTGTGTGTGAGGGGGAGCCATTGGGGCCTGGCGAGGGCTGGGGTGATGGGGGACGGGGTTTAGTGTGTGTGAGGGGGAGCCAGTGGGGCCTGGCGAGGGCTGGGGTGATGGGGACGGAGTTTAATGCGGATGAGTGTGCGGGCGGCAGAGTTGTGGAGTAACTGGTGTGATGAGGGGTGCACAAGTGGAGGGGAAGCTGGCCTGTATAATAACATAACAACTCTGCGTTGATCTCTAGGGGCTCCATCTTGGCGTCCTTGGACACCTTTAAGAAAATGTGGGTGTCGAAAAAGGAGTACGAAGAGGATGGTCCAAGGGCCATTCACAGGAAAACCTTCTAACAGCAGCAGCTCCTGACCTGTACCTGTCTGTGTTCTCCTGTGTGTGAGCCTCGCTCTCTCTGTACGACCCCCGGAATCATGCAGGAACGAACAACGGACAAACAAAAAAAAAAATCTCGAGCGTCAGATCGAAACGAGGTTTTCGGACGGGGGGGTTGGGGGAGTGGGGAGGGGAGTGGGTTTGTGAGACCCCAATCTCCTCCCTTCACTTCCTGCGCCCGTGTGTCTGTGTGTATATTGGAATCTACCTTTTTATTTAATTGCTGTACAAATGTTTGGAGATGTTCGAAAGGCCCAGGATCCGAACTCCCTCTCGTCTGTGGCGGAAAGGTCGTGGGGTTTTTTTTTGAACAAAAAGGAAGAAAAGCAACGGATGGGGGGGGTGGGGGGGGTGGGGAGGGAAGCAAAGGTTTTTTTTTTGCACGGCTAATGTATTGCTGTTGCCGCTCGCTGCCTCTCTCTGTGTGTGTGTCTGGCTAAACCCCGCCAGGTCCCTGAAGGAGAGGGAGAGACAGAGAGAGAAAGGGTGAGTACTGCAGCCAGGCTGCTGTGTAAATTCGTGTGTTTGGTGCCTATTTAGCACGAGCCGTTACCTTGCGGCTTAAACCCAAACCGGCTGCTTAAACAGAATGTGCTGCGATCGTATAATTGACGGCGAGGGGTGCGTCTGCGTCTGTGTGCGTGCACGCGCGCGTGCCTGACACGCAGTTGGTTAAGTTCGAGACAAGTAATGGAATCATTGCTGAATGAATTATTGTATATAAATGTGCTTGCGGTTGATTTTCCAGTGCTATTTGTTTGTTAAGAAGAATTATAACAACGCCCCTCCGCCCCCTTCCCCCACCCCGAAAAATAATGATAATCCTTGCATTTAACATTGCGCCTTATCGCCACGTCCAGACATCGCTCAAAGCACTTCACAGGATACACTGTAAAGTGAATTGACTGGGCGAAAAGCGGCAGCCAATTTATTAGATATTAAAAATAATATTTTCACCCGCCCCCTCTGATCGACTGCGAGTGGGATCGTTTGTAAGTTCCCCCTCCCTCTACCGAGATAGTCTTATGCTGGCTGGATCCACATGTTCCGTTTGTCCCTCCGTTCGGGAACCTTATCTGTTCCTGAAAAAAAAAGAAACCGACTCGAAACTTTAAGGCGTAAAAGATTAAAAATTAAAGAATTTTAAGAATTTCCCCGTAATTTTCGATTGGGAAAACTGACTCACAGCCGAAGACTTGGGGAGAATTTCAGGCCTTGGTTTAAGACTAATTCGGTGGCTAAAAGTGAAGCTTAGTGCTCGCCCCGGACACCAGTGCTCTGTCCCGCTTACCGCTGCTCAACTGGTTTAAAGTCAGAGTGGGAGGTCCAACCATTTTGGCCGCTGAGGGCCGGATGCTCAGTTTGAGAAACGTCCACAGGCCAAATAAGCGATATTTGTGCGTTTCCCTTCCAGAAACGTAACCCGATAACACTTACGAGTTATGGAGGGAGCGGGTGGGCCGGATGTGGCCCGCGGGCCGTCAGTTGGACCCTCCTGGTTCAAGTAAGCGAGACTGGGGGCAGAGAGAACGCTAGCTCGGCTAATCAGCTTAACAGGGGAAATGTTTCTGTAAGTTTGTCTCTGTAAGTTTGTTTGGGGCTAAAATATTGAGGTCTTAATCATTTCTAAGCAGACAGTAGCTGTTGGGATAGTGAGCCCCTTCCAAAATTCCCTTCCTCACGGCGAGAGGCGAGGAGACTGCTGTCTCTCTCCCCTCAAAATATACAGCGTGTCCACAAAGTCCTGTTACTCCCCCCCACATTACAAAACGGTTCTACAACAGAGCAGCTGAAACAAGGCGTTAAGACACACTTTTTGCCCTCTCCCATCCACGTTACAGAAGATGTAGCACCACACGTGGCAACGGATCCGTTATCTGCCATGAAAATAATAATCATCGTTGCATTCCATCTCGCGTCTTCGAGACGTCTCAAGCACTTCGCAGAGTATACTTTAAAGTGAATTGACTGGGTATTTTTTTGTGGGCAGAATTGCGCACAGCGACGTCCCCACAAACAGTCGTGGATTGAAGTGACCAAATTATTATTTTTTTTAACTTATTGTTTTGGAAGGGATTATTTTATTTAAGTAAGAGGGCGCGCACGCACACACACACATATTGATTCCCCCGGACGTCTAATACAGTTAAAATACTTGTACTGAATAGAATACAATGATGTACTGCTAAATACAATTATCATCATTCTTGCACGTTTCAGTTGTTGGTCGGTGCATTGTAGAGAGCAAAAAAACGTGGGGGAAACTTTGTGAACAGCCTATATGGTTCCGATAATCCTTGCATTTGACGTAGCGCCTTATCAAGGACGTCTCAAAGGCTTCACAGAATATACTGTAAAGTGGATCGGCTGTATTTTGTGGGCGGAACGCGGCAGACAGTTTCGCACAGCAGCGTCCTCCGCAAACAGCCGTGGATTGAGTGACCAAATCCGGTCGCGTCATTGGCATGTAGACAGCCTTGAGCTCGGAGGAGAAAGACCAGTGTCTAAGGTCTGCAGGGAATTGGTTTGGCTTCGTGGCGAGACAGGCAACTGAATTTACACTCGACTACAATTCTGACCGAAACTGAATCGAGAATAAATATAATCCTTACGTTTGATGCCTCTTTTGCAAATCTGACTCACAATCCTTTCACCACCAGCTCTCGAGCAGCCACTTTTTTTAATCGGGGTTGAGGTACAGATCAGCCAAGATCTGATAGAATGGCGGAACAGGCTCGAGGGGCTGAATGGCCTCCTCCTGTTCTTACGACACCTCAAAAGGGGACTTTATAGAGGTACCTAAACCAGGACAGAAAGCGCGAGAGAGAGGGGGTGGTGGGGGGGGGGGAGGTTACGAGAAAACACAACACATTGAAACCAAACCAATTTATTACAATTGCCACATGGAACCGAAACGGTGGGAGAAAATGAATGAAGCGAACGCTATAAAAATAAGCAGTGTTTTGTGTCAACGTGAGGCGTTTTGTTTTATATACAAGTCTTATTCCCACCCTTGTCGGGAGCCGGGCGGAGGAGGCTTTAGTGAGGCGGCCCCAGTCGTTTGAGTCTGACGGAAGCGAGTGCGGGGCTGTGGGTGGGGGGGAAAGCCAATGAAGGGGCCCCGGTTGGAGTTGGGTTGGAGGCGAGAGAACAGGGCGTCGAACCGGGGTTGGCACAGGGAGGAGTCTCTGTGGTGTGAATAATGGTGCTTCCTTCGTCCATCACCGATGGCATCTTGCCCAGGGTCTCCACCGAGCTGCTCGCCGCGGCCGAGATCTTGTTCGGCGCGGCGCTGACGGGCACCAGCGTGTCTCCCGGCCCCCCGAGGTTCCCCTCGCTCTTCGTCGGGGTCGGGGGTGCGGGTGGCGGGGCGGAGGCGAGGAGGACGGTCTTGGAGTTGTTCTGAAGGAGGGGGCCCACTTTGGAGAGCACGACTGCACAGGGGGAGCTGGGAGCGTTGGTCAGGGCTGGCGATGTGAAGGTAAGCGCTGCACTGGCTGTGCTGAATCCTGGCCGGGAACACAGGGAGGAGGGATCCAGGCTGCCCACGATGGACTTGGTGAGGGCGCACATCTTGGCGTCAGACATCACGTACAGAGTTTTCGTGGGGCTTGTGGTCGTCACTGCAAAGGGAAAAGAGAACAATCCTGATCAATCCTTCCACTTGATGCAGGGCTTCATCACGTCGCCGAGACGTCTCAAAGCGCTTCGCGGGAATACGCTGTAAAGTGGATCCGCCGTATATTTTGCGGGCGGCCGATTGCTCCCCAGCGACGTCCCCGCAACGGTCGTGGATTGAGTGACCAAATTATTATTATTATTATTATTTTATTAACAAATTGGAGTCGTGGTTTGACCATCCCTCAGTGACTGTGGGTGAGAGTGTCTCAGAGGGAACAGGAAGAGGCCATTCAGTCCCTCGAGCCTGTTCCGCTATACGATCAGATAAATGGCTGATCTGCGCATCAATTACCCGCCTTTGTTCCATATCCCTTTGATTCCCCTCGGAGTAACAGTGCCACTGACAGAGGCCTCACCTACAGGTGTGGATGTGGGCTGGACACTGGAAGCCTTTTCTGCTGGAGGGGTCTCTATCACGCTGTGGCCTTTGCTCAAGTCCATCTGTGTGAGCAGTTTGGTGGTGGCTTGGGAGGTGGTAACCAGACCTGGGATGTCACGGAGCTACAGGGAGGGAGAGAAGAAAACATCAGAAACATCCCAGAGCTGGGAAATAATAATCCTTGCATTTGATGTAGCGCCTTATCACGTCGTCGGAGCTGAACTGGCTCCAAGGCCACATGTCGGAATCGAGCCAGCCCTCTCTGTGCCGGTCTCGGGTCTCGAGCCCCCGGTTTCTGAGCCGGGAGGGGCCGCAGTGTCCCAGGGCACTCACTGCTGATGGCAGCACAGCCCGGCCTGACTCATCGGCAGGACCTGGAAGGGCCAACCGGTCTCTGGGGGCCGGGAATCCTCCCCCTCAGCTCCTGTTAATCCCACAGCCAAAGCCCTAACTAACTAACCAACGGGGAGGGGGGTCCGAGCCGGACAAGCAGTGGGAAAGCTCAGCCAAACAGCGACATCAATGGCATTTGTTAGGTCAGGGTATCAAGGCATATGGGGCAAAGATGCGTAATTGGACTTGAGGTACAGGTCAGCCATGATGTAAAAGAACAGGCTCGAGGGGCTGAATGGCCTCCTCCTGTGCCTACGACAGACAACAACAACAAACAACAAAATCACATTTGTATAGCCAACCTACCTGCTGACTCTGCCCCTTAGTGTTGTGTTCGGCTGCCCCCGGCTTCCCCCCGGGGCTGGGCATGGTGTGGCAGAGGCTGGGCGTGGGGCTGGGGATGGGCGGCTGGCAAAGGGCAGCCATGTGGCCTGGTTGGCTCCTCAGCGTCACTGTGATGGCTGTTGGCGGCTTCACAACTGCAGAGCGATTACCGTTAGAGCGCCACAAATGGGGGAATTATTATAACAATAGATTATAGTTACATTAATCCTCGCATTTGATACGGCTTTGCCTTATCACGTCTTCCAGACGCCTCAAAGCGCTTCGTAGGATACACCGTAAAGGGTAGTGACTGTGTATTTTGCGGGGCGAAACGCGGCAGCGAATTGCGCACAGCAGCGTCCCCACAAACAGCCGTGAAGCGAGCGACCAATTTTATCTGGGGGATTGTCAGCCAGGACACCAGGAGAGAGAGAGAGAGATACTCTTCTTTTTGAATAGCATCGCAGGATCTTTAACTTCCACCTGAAGGTCGTAATCTGTGGCTGCGTTTCTCGTGCTGCAGCGCAATGGTAATTATTAATAAGAATTAATAATAATTGTATAATCTGTAGCCGTACCTGCCGGGCCGGAGATGTTATTGGTGAGCTTGGCCAGGCCGCCGTTGGCCAGTAGTTGGTGCACGGCTGTGTGTTTGCCGCTCAGCAACCCCGCTGTGGTCGAGAGGTTCACTGTTCGAGATGCGGTGCTGGGCGTCATGGTGCTGACAGCCAACGTGTGTAATGCTACGGTGCTCTTCACCACGCTGCACTGCTGGGGAACAGAACCACACAACAACAACAGTACTAACGCTAATCCTTGACTTTGATAGAGGGCTTATCACGTCGTTGAGGCGTCTCGAGGCGATTTCGTCAATTGACGAACAACCGGGTTCTTACTGACTGCTGGTAAACAGAGGCGTGTGTGTGTGTTTGAGGAAACTTGCTTAAGCAAGGTTTCCCCCTGACCTGACCCACCCGGGAATTGAACCCGGGTACTCTCGCTCGCGAGTGCTCTCAACCCTGAGCTACAGGACTCGACCTCAAATCTAACAGGAGGATGAGGCGGGAGTGAAACGCAGAGTCAGGTCCATGGCTTTGTTCTGTGGCTGTAAATTGCTGTTCTGTAAACTGATCGCATTCACTCCTTAATTATTCATTCATTTATTCTCAACTAATCAATCGGCGGACAGGCCTTCAGCCTTTCTGCCCCCACCCTTTGTAACACCATCCCAGTTCCCTTTGTCTCGCCCCCCCCCCCCCCCCACTCCCTCGTCTCCTTCAAGGCCAGTCTCAAAAGCCTCCCCTTCGACCGTGTCTTCGGCCACTCACCCCTACCCTCCCTGCCCTCCACCCTCCCTGATCACCTGCATGAGTTGTAGTTGTTGTTTGTACTTTACCTGAGTGGGGCTGTGGGTCACTGACCCCGAGGACAAGCTGGGGGCTTTGGTCCCAATCTCCTGGAGGCTGAAACTCAATCCCTGGAGCAGGCTGCTGGCGGAAGGAGTTCCTGAGGGCAAAACACACCATCACACACGTCAGCCTCAAGTGTCAGCGTTCTCCTCGCTGGCTCAAGAGTGTGTCGCTTCAAGTGTCACATTGGGACTCTTGAGCTGATACTCTAGGCTGAAGCTCCAGGGCCGTTGCTGGGGGACGGGGAGGGTTGCAATGTCAGAGGTGATGCCCTTCAGGTGACATATTAAATCGGGATTCGGTCGTCTCGAGAGTCTGTGGGTGTGGGTATGAGTCTGTGTGTGTGTGAGTCTGTGTGTGTGTGAGTGTGTAAGTAAGAGTGAGTGTGAGAGCGTGAGTGTTTGTGTGTGCGAGAGTGAGTGTGTGTGAGTGTGTGAGGGTGAGTGTGAGTGTGTGAGAGTGAGTATGTGAGAGTGAGTGTGTGAGAGAGTGCGAGGGCCGGACCTAGTGAGATGAGACGTACCTGAGGAGATGCCTGAGCTGCAGTGAGACTGTGTGGCTGGGCTGGAGGTGGAGGTCAATCGTGCCTGGATGCTGTGGAAGGCGGAGGCAGTGTGGCCACTGGTCAGGACACTGGGGGTGAGAGAGGTCGTGTCCGGGGGTCCAGCAGGCGAGGATCTGAGTGTGGGGGGGGTCGGCGGATAGACAATCAGTGAGTGAGAGAACGTAATCACCCTCTAAATACCCCCCCGCCCGCTCTCCTCCCATTCTCCCCCCACTGGTCAAGCTCTTTTGCACTGATAATAATAATCCATGCATTTAATATGGTGTTGTAGCTGAGACGTCTCAAAGCGCTTCACAGGATATACAGTAAAGTGTAATGACTGTGTGTTTTGTGGGCGAAACGCGGCAGCCAATTGCGCACAGCAGCGTCCCCCACAAACAGCCGTGGTTTGAGTGCCCACTTTATTTTTTTTAAGGGGTTATTAGCCTCGGAAAGCGATCCGGCAATCGACTAACGACCGGGTCACACTCACCTCTGCCCTGTGAGAAGGCCTGTGAGCTCCTTTGTGCCGGATCCAGACTGACTCATCGACAGGGCCATCGGCTTCCCAACAACACCTGCCAGCACAGAGGCCAACCATTAGATACACGCACACATTCACACGCACAGCCATTCCAATCAACTAGAGAATAGAGAGGTGTAGGAGAGGGGAATAGAGCGGTGTGGGAGAGGGGGATCGAGGGCTGTGGGAGAGGGGGAATAGAGGGGTGTGAGAAAGGGGGACTAGAGGGGTGTGGGAGAGGGGGAATAGAGGGGTGTGGGAGAGGAGGAATAGAGGGGTGTGGGAGAGGGGGAATTGAGGGGTGTACTATAGATGACTGGTGTGCACAGTTTTGTGCGACAGACGTACCATCTTTTGAGCCAGTGAAGGGCTGAGCAGGGGAGGCACCCTCCCCATGGGAGAGGATGGTGACTTTGATCTTCGCCCTCTTGGCAGCTTTGGCCCCCAGCTGGTTGGGGCTCTCAGCCTGTCGTCTCTTCAACAGGTTTTTAACGTCCTCTTTCTCTGCCAGGTCCTGCTGCTCCGAGGACACGGGGACTACGGGAGTGAGAGAGAGAGTGTGAGAGCGTGTGAGAGAGATAGAGTGAGCGAGTGAGTGTGAAAGTGAGTGGGAGAGTGAGAGAAAGAGAGACAGAGAGTGAGAGAGACAAGAGAGTCTCGCTCAACATTTCCCACTGCACGGAAGTCGAACCCAGGTCTCTCGCTTGCGAGGCGAGCGCTCTAACCACTGAGCTACAGGACTTTGTGGTTGTTGTTGACGGGATTATTACCCCCGGAAAAGCCACCCGCCAATCGACTAACAACCGGGTTCCTACTGACTGCTGGTAAACAGAGGCGCGCGCGCGCGTGTGTGTGTGTGTGTGTGTGGATTAAAGAAACTTTCTTCAGGTTTCACCCGCCCGGAAATCGAACCCAGGGCCTCTCACTTGGGAGGCGAGAGCTCTAGCGACTGAGCCGGGCTGAGAGCTGGGGGCTGGGATATTTCACAAGCAAGGCGAGGACTTGTGCTTTACAGCCACCGCCCCGCTCCCACCACTGGCTCGGAGTCAGGCTCCGCCACTGTTAAGCGCTCCGAGACGCTACCCTGCGTGGAGGGCGCTTTGTAAGTGCAAGTTGTTGTTGTTGAGGGCGTGTCTGCACAGCGAGATGTACTCACCAAATACGCAGGAGGAGCTGGCTGGGGGCAGAGACTTTGTCACCAACATGTTCTGCTTCAGGAAAGCAGCGAACTGAGCTGGAGGGAAACACACGGGTTTGGCACACAGCAAACTCCACATTGTATAGGAGCAGGAGGAGGCCATTCAGCCCCCCGAGCCTGTTCCAGCCGACAACTTTCAAACTACCCACACGTTCGTACAGTCGAATGGCAGCCACCTGTACTGTATTCTACATGCTGTGAAGTGTAGTGACTGCGTATTTCGTGGGCGAAACTCGGCAGACAACTGTGCCCGGCAGTGGATGGATTTAGTGACCGTATTTTTGAGTGCGCGCTCGAGTGTGTGTATGTGTGTGTGTGTGTGGGGGGGGTGGGGTGGGAGGGAATTAGTGAGGGGGCGCTCTGTAAATGCAAGTTGTCGTGGCTGTTGCTGAGGTTACCTTGTGCCTGTTTCTGGGTCAGCACGGTGCCCGTCCTCTGCATGTGCTGCTTGAGGATGTGGGTGAAGTGTGCGGAGAGGCTGGGTGACTGGCTGGCTGCCGTGGCCGACGCTGTGATCAGACTGGCCTTCTGGGCGGGAGACAGCGAGGAGGGCTTGGTCTTGGGGCTGGAGTTGGGGCTGCTCGACACGCTCGAGGTATCCTGCCGGCGACATTTTCTTTTACAAAACCATTTGTTTTTATTTGCCCGGCCGGGTGTCTGACCCGCGCGAGGAAACCCATCGCCGTGCTTTTAATCGTCTCCAAACCCAACCGAGAATTCCCTGCCTCGAATCTGCACGTGGGAATCCCAGAGATAAGATTGTTGGAATGGAATGCGCTCTCTCTCTCTCTCCCTGGAGGGAGGCATCCTACGTACCTAATTCCGGAGAGTATCAGGCGCAGGTTGGCGAGGGGGGAGCCCAGAGTGTGTGTTGGGGTAACTGCTGGAGTCTGACCAGCTAAACCCACACACAGCTCCGGCCATTGAGGGCGCTGTCTGGCCGAGCTTTCCCGCTGCTTGTCCAGCTCGGACCCCCCTCCCCGTTAGGGTTTTGGTTTACAGGGTTAATCATCATTAATTAACCAATAAAAAGAGTGAAGTTTCCTTACATAAGTGGGGTATAAATGGCGCATTGTCCAGAACCCAGATCCTCCCACCACCCACCCTTACCCCTCCCTCCTGTTCATTCCTTACAACCCCCACCCCCCCACCCCCACACCACTTACCTCGGAGCCGGAAGGCGAGGCGGACACTCTGCTGAAGGGGGAAGCGGGTCGGTTGCTCCGCTCGGGCAGCTCGAAGGTTAAGTCTCTCCGCGTGTCCCGGGCTTTCCTTTTCTTCTCCGCGTCCAGGTCTTTGGGGTCGGAGCCGGCCTGAGCCTCCGACTTGGTGAGAACTCCCGTCAGGAAATCCCCAATCTCGTCCTGCGTGGGGAACACCCTTTAGCATTTGACCCCAATCTATTTCCGATGACCTACCGAGGCTCTGGGGCACAGTACGAGATATTCTACCCAGCCCTTCACGTGCAAACGTTCAAGCCTTTGAGCAAGTTTTACAGCTCACATTGATCGTGTGGCGTATTGGTCTTATTTTGATGTTTTATCCTCGTCTCATGGACAACAATAATCCTATTTGAGGGTAATGATCCAACAACAATAACAACTTGCACTCATATAACAACTTCTATGGCGTTCTGTTGAAAAAGGGGGAGGCGGAGGGATTGAGGGAGAGTGTTCCAGACTTTCGGGGCTTGGTGGCTGAAAGCGAGTTTTAGGGCGCAATCCCTTCAACGACAACAACAAAAATAATAATAATAATGTAATCACTGGAACCACGGCTGTTTGTGGGGGACGCTGCTGCGCGCAATTGGCTGCCGTGTTTCGCCCACAAAATACCCAATCGGTTCACTTGACAGTGGATTCCATGAAGCGCTTTGAGACGTCTCGAAGAGGTAATAAGGCGCTATATTATTGTTGTTTTATCACACGAGCAGCTCCTCACACACACCTGGATGCAGCGATCTACCATGCTCTGGGTCAGGCCCTCTGTTTTTTTCTTAGCTTTGCTGATCCTGCAGTAAAAAGCCCATCAGCACAACATCATAATGGGAGTTAAAGAGAGAGCGAAAGAGAGAGAGATAAAGCACTGAGAGAGCGAGAGAGATAGAGTTACACAGGGAGAGAGAGATTGAGTTACACAGGGAGAGAGAGATAGAGTTACTGCAGAGAGAGTTCCAGCACATACAAACCCTCATACACACACTCACACAGAGAGATACAGCACACACATGCAGTCACAGAGAGATACAGCGCACGCGCACAGTCAGAGATACAGCACACACATGTGCGCAGTCAGTTACAGCACGCACACACACGCAGTCACAGAGTTACAGCACACAAATGTGCGCAGTTAGAGAGAGATACAGCACACACATGTGCGCAGTCACAGGGTTACAGCACACACACACGGACCCAGTCCCACAGATACAGCACACACACACACACGCGCGTGCAGTCAGAGATACAGCGCACGCACGCACGCACACACACACACGTGCAGTCCCAGAGATACAGCACACACACATAGAGTTACGGCCACAGTGAGTGTCAGACCCACCTGAGGTTGTCGTCCCCGCCCCCCACGATCACCATGCTGTTCTCGGCCCGGATCCTCTCCCTGAAATCCTCCATCCCGTCCACACTGCACTGCACCGCGTGCTGACCGACCACAAACAGCACCGGGGTCTTCATATCCAGCAACGGGTCGTCCACATCCTGGGGTCAACACACACCCACACGGTGAGCTGACGAGCCCAGTGCTCGGAGCACTAATTCATTCATTCATTAATGGACCCGTATTCACACACTCCGTCCCCCCATCACCCCAGCCCTCGCCAGCCCCCACTGGCTCCCCATTACCCCCACTAACCCCCGTTCCCCCCATCACCCCGGCCCTCGCCAGCCCCCACTGGCTCCCCATCACACACACTAACCCCCGTCCCCCCATCACCCCAGCCCTCGCCAGCCCCCACTGGCTCCCCTCACACACACTGACCCCCGTCCCCCCATCACCCCAGCCCTCGCCAGCCCCCACTGGCTCCCCGTCACACACACTGACCCCCGTCCCCCCATCACCCCGACCCTCGCCAGCCCCCACTGGCTCCCCGTCACTGAATGGATCGATTTCAAGTTCCTCTCAACACTCGTCTTCAAATCCCTTCACTCCTCGACACCTCCCGACCTCTCCCACCTGCTCACCCCCCAACCCACTACCTACTGCCTCCGTTCGACCGGCTCCGGCCTCCTGCTCGTCCCCCGCTTCGCCCCGAATGTCTGTCACTCTCTTTCCTCTATCCCCCCGCCTCGTCCCCTTCCTTCCCCATCTTCAGGTCGCGCCTGAAGACCTTCCTCTTGGACCAGTGCCTAGGGTCACCTCCCCCCCGGCTCGGTGTCGCGCTCCGTCAGTGTCAAGCGCTCTGGGTCGCTGCCCTGCGCGAGGGGGCGCTGTATAAAAATGCAAGCTGCCGCTGTTGTTGTTGTTGTTCTGCCCAACGTTCATCCATTATTACACAGCTGTCACTTACCCCTCTCGGCCCTTCCGTGGTGAACAGAGGGAACCCGAGACACACCACGGCCGACACGAACTCCATCACAGAGACCTGCGGGCAAACAGTGTGATAACATACACTGCATCTTTACTGACATTGTACAGTAACGGGGAAAGAGACAAGACTGCCCCTCACCCACCCACAGCCCCACCCACCTACAGCCCCACCCACAGCCCCACCCACCACCCTGCCCCCACCCGCAGCCCCGCCCTCACCCACCCACAGCCCCACCCACCACCCTGCCCCCACCCTTCAGCCCCGCCCTCACCCACAGACCACCCACAGCCCCACCCTCACCCACCCACAGCCCCACCCTCAGCCACCTACAGCCCCACCCACCTACAGTCCCACCCACCCACAGCCCCACCCACCCACAGCCAAACCCACCACCCTGCCCCCACCCGCAGCCCCGCCCTCACCCAGACCACCCACCCACAGCCCCGCCCTCACCCACCCACAGCCCCACCCTCACCCACCCACAGTCCCACCCTCACCCACAGCCCCACCCTCATCACCCACAGCCCCACCCTCACCCACCTACAGCCCCACCCACCTACAGCCCCACCCACCCACAGCCCCACCCACCCACAGCCCCACCCACCACCCTGCCCCCACCCGCAGCCCCGCCCTCACCCAACCACAGCCCCGCCCTCACCCACCAACAGCCCCGCCCTCACCCACAGCCCCACCCTCACCCACAGCCCCGCCCTCACCCACCCACAGCCCCGCCCTCACCACCCACATACTTACATGACAGGCAACCAGAGCGCCCACATTCCAGCCAATCAGGACAATGGGTCTGGTTGGGAAGTGAGTTTGTGACTGTCGAGAGAGTGAGAGAGAGACCTTGAGTCATCCATCCACAGAAAATAAATCCACTCCCGCTGAGCCAGGCTCACAGCCTCCTCCCCACACCCCCACCCCACACACACACACACTCCCCTTCCCCCACTCCCCCTTCACCCAAACTCTCTCCCCCTCTTCCCTCACATTACACGGAAGCAAACCGAGAATGGAAAACAATCAGTTTACCTTATTACGGTTTAGGAAAACAAATAACTTGCCTAAGGTTTCGTCCTGACCCGCCCGGGAATCGAACCCAGGTCCTCTCGCTTGCGAGTCGAGTGCTCTAACCGCTGAGCTGCAACTTCCATTACTCACCTCGTGAACCTTTGCTCTGATGGCTGCGATCATATTCTCCAGACACTGGGAAACACTAACTCCAGAGCCGCTGTGGGATACATGCATCGTAACGGGAATCACCTGCAGAACAAGTCCAGCCGGAGCCAGTTACACTCACAGCCACGTAAACCCAGCAACCACCCACCACCCCCCACTACAAACCCTGCACATGGGCAAAGTGTTTTATTTGTAACCAATCTGCACACAGCGACGTCCCCGCAAACAGCCATGGAGTGATTGGCCAATTTTATCTGCGGGATTGTCAGCCACAGTTGTTACGGTCCGGAATGCACTGTCTGACTGGGTGGTGGAAGCAGAGTCGATAGCTTTCAAAAGGGAATTATAGAGGTATTTGAAAAGGAAGAATTTTCATGGCTTTGGGGTAAGAGTGGGGGAGTGGGACTAGTTGGGGTGAGAGCGGGGGAGTAGGACTAGTTGGGTAGATCTTTCAAAGAGTCGGCACAGGCTCGATGGGCCGAATGGCCTCCTTCTGTGCTGTAAGATTCTATGACATCGGGAGAGAGAGAGAAACTTGCTTCTCTTTTCTAACAGCGCCGCAGGGGGAGAGATCGTTAACGCCCACCTGAACCGGGCACAGACGGGGAATGAGTGAGGTTTAACGTCTCATCCGAAGGACGGCGTCTCTGACAATGCGGCGCTCTCTCTCTCTCCCTCTCCCCCTCCCTCCAGCGCTGCGCTGGAGTGTCAGCCTGGGCTGTGAGCTCAGAGTCCCCACACATAGAGGCTCGAACCCACACCTTCTGATTCAGAGGCGAGTGAGCTAGCGACTGAGCCAGGACCACACCTTAATACTGTATCCCAGCCTTCGGCATAGCAAACCCCATTCCACTGTGTGCTGGCACTGCGCAAATGCAATGTGTTGTCGCTGTTGTTGTTGACTGACCTTTCCCAAACAGGAGAGCTGTGAGTGCCAGAAACGGTTGCGACGGGTTGTGGACAAGAGACTGTTGGTCGGCCCATTGGGAGCCACGAGTAGGAGAGGGGAGCCAGGGATCTTAGTCTGAGGACAAGGAGAAGAAACACTGTCCTTTTAGTCGCTGATAATATAACAATAATCCTTGCATTTTATTCAGCGCCTTATCACGTGGTCGAGATGCTTCAAACCGCTTCACAAAATATACTGTGAAGTGTAGTGACTGTGTATTTTATGGGCGAAATGCGGCAGCCAATTGCGCATAGCAGCGTCCCCACAAACAGTCGTGGATTGAGTGACCAATTTATAATATTTTTTTGTTGGGATTATTACCCCTGGAAAAGCGATCCGCCAATCGACTAACAACCGGGTTCCTACTGACTGTTAAATAACCAGAGGCGCGTGTGTGTGTGTGTGGAGTAAGGAAACTTGCCCAACGTTTTGCCCTGACTGGGAATTAAACCCAGGTCCTCTGGCTTACGAGGTGAGCTCTAACCAATGAGCTACAGGACTGCACTATGTGTATAAACATTAATATACAAATGTAACTTGTTGTTGTTGAGGGAAGGTACTCACAGGCTTGTTGTGGGACAGCACACCCACTGCTGGGTCCCAGGGACGTTTGAGGAGTAAGGAGAGGGCCTCAGCTCCCGCTGCTCCCGACTTGGCAGTCGATGAGATGATCATTCTGTCAATCAGGGTCGGGACCTGGTAAAGCGGAAGGAAACGTCCTGGTTTCACTCTCACAGCAACACTTCCTACAGAGCTCCTGTATCCTCCTCCGCCCCAAACTCCGTGCCCTCGTCATCCCAGTCCCTGCCAGGCTCCACCGACTTCCAGCTGACCCCACCCCAAAAATAAAATACCCTATGGAACCCTTTATCATTTTAAATACCTTACAAACTCAAGGGAATACATTAAGGGGTGTAATAATAATCCTTGCATTTGATGAAGCGCCTTATCACGTCTTCGAGACGTCTCAAAGCCTTCACAGCTCCTGTAAAGTGAAGTGACTGTGTACTTTGGGGGCGAAATGTACTGTAAAAGTGGGTTACCTTGCATTTCAGTGTCTGAAGCACATCGAGATAGGCAGAGAGCATGGGGAGACTGAGAGATTCGACCAGTGTGGAGTGCAGCCACTGTGTCAGCCTGGTCTCCCAGTTCACACTGGCCAGGGCCTGTCGAACTCGTCGCGTACATTTATCCACCGCGATCCTCCTCAGCACTGGCTCATTACTGGCCTGGAGAGGGAGAGAGAGGGAGATTGCAATTATAGTCGTATCACTGTAGCTCAGGGGTTAGAGCCCTCGCCTCGCAAGCGAGAGGGCCTGGGTTCAGTTCCCAGGCGGGCAGGGCGAAACGTTGGGCAAGTTTCCTTACGCCACACACACACCTCTGTTTACCAGCAGTCAGTAGGAATCCGGTTGTTAGCTGATTGGCGGATGGCTTTTCCGCGGGTAATAATCCCTTCAAATAAAAAAAGTGCCCTGGTATTTTTAATGTCCACCTGAACAGGCAAACGGGACCTCGGTTTAACATTGCAAACCCCGCCCCAGCGCTGCATTGGAACGTCAGCTTAAACTGTGTCCTGACGCGAGGTTCGAACCCACAACCTTCTGACTCAAGAGGCGAGAGCGCGACCACTGAGCCAGGCTGACGCACACTGAGCTGGGCTGACACTCACACTGCGCCTGGTTGACACACTGCTGCCAGACAGAAAGACACTGGAATGCTACCCCTGTGCCACTCACCCCTTCGTTCCCCAGCCTGGCCAGCCGGTCTGACTGGAGGGCCTTCACGATCTTGTTGAAGAGTTTATTCTGCGCCGCCGTCCAGCCCAGCCTGGGAGAGGGAAGCCAGAGTCAGGCTCAGCACGGCACAAGCTGCACCGTAACAGCCACTCGCACTTACGCAGAGCCCCCTCCCGCAGGGCAGCGTTTGACAGTGGCGGAGCACTATGCCAAGCCGAGTGGAGGTGACCGCAGGCACTCGTCGAATTTGGAAGGTCTTCGGGCGCGACCTTAAGATGGGGAGGGAAGGGGGCGAGGCGGAGGGATTGGAGGAGAGAGTGGCAGAGTTTCGGGGCGCAGCAGCTAAAAAGCTCGGCCACCGATGGTGGAATGGAGGGCACGAGGGACAAGCAGGAGGCCGGAGCCAGCTGAGTGAGGGGAGGTAGTGGGTTGGGGAGTAAGCAGGTCGGAGAGGTAGGGAGGTGCCAGGGCATGAGGGGATTTGAAGACGAGTGAGAGGATCTTGAAACACAGGCACAACTCGGCCACACATGTCACATACACATACGTCTCACACACGCACCGATTGACGTGATCTTCCCAGTCGTCGGGGGGCAGCGGGGCGTCCGTGTCCGTCCGGGCAAAGATGACGTGACGCTCGCATTCGTTCATCACGCTCCGGGCCTTCTGGTTATCGTACAGCGGCAGTGGGCTGGGCAGCACCGTGTCCACGTCCACGACCACATCCCCCTCACTGCAAAACGCAGCGAAACACAGCTCACACGCCTGTACACACGTACATGGACATAGTCAGTGGGAAATATGTGTGCCCAACCCCTTGTGACATTTAGCCTTGACGTCTCTGACAATGTGTCTCTCTTTCTCTATCTCTCTCTCTCTATCTCCCTGTGGGGCTCGAACCCACAACCTCCGGACTTGGAGGCGAGTGAGCGAGAGACTGAGCCACAGGCTGCCGTTCGGGCAGTGTTTGGTTACACTTCGAAGGGTCCCCGCGGATCTCTTGACCGTCCAGCATCCAGACCGTCCTCCTGATGTGAAAGGCGCCGTGTGCATGTCTTCCGTTGCTGTTGCGACTGCTCTTACCTGCTGTTGTCTTGGTGTCTCCTGGGAGTGACGAAGAGCATGCGGGCGGGCCGGGAGGTGCTGGCGTCTGGGTGAGCGCTCCATGGCTTGGCGTAGCTGTGATCCAGGAACACCAGGTCCAGCTCCCGCTCGTGGGCCGAGAGCTGGAACAGTAACGAGGTGCCCATGCGCCGAGCGGAGCTCTGAAAATCACGCTCACCTCGACCGGACATTTGCTCAACTTCAGCGTCAGCTCCGGCTGAAATCACCTGAAATACACACACACACACACACACACACAGAGAGGTGTCAGCGCTCAAAGCGTAAAACACACAGTCACTCCCCCTCACTTTCCCCCCCCACCCCCCCACCCCCCCCCTCCCTCGCCGTCTTAATGGGAATCCTTGCGTTCGATCACCCTGGCGCCTCATCGCGTGGTCGAGGACGTCTCAAAGCGCTTCGCGGGACACGCCGCCGAGCGGATTGACTGCTAACAAAGCGTGGGCTTTGTTGGGTCAAATTGGAAGTTGTTCTTGTTTTTTTTTTTGACGGATTCCGATTTAATCGAAAAACAGGAAACATTAATTTGCACAAAGTCCTGTAGGGTATTGGTTAGAGCGAACCTGAGGCGAGTTTCCTTACTCCCCACATACACACACACACCTATTTACCAGCAGTCAGTAGGAACCCGGTTGTTGGTCGATTGGCGGAGGGCTTTGCCGGGGGGTAATAATCCCTCCAAAAAATTAATAATAATTTGGTCACTTCCATCCACACTGCTGTGGGCGATCGGCTGCCGCCAAAACACTTTGCGGTGTGTCCCGCGAAGCGCTTTGAGACGTCTCGACCACGTGCTAAGGCGCTGTATCAAATGCAAGGATTATTATTGTTATTATTAATATTATTATTATGATGATTATGATGATTTCTGACCCTCCCTCCCTCCCTCCGCTCCTCTCCAGGCCTGTCCTCCGGGAACACAAGTGCAAACACAAGCAACAACTCCTACAGAGAATAAAGATGATCAAGATATCAAAAATCATTTCCCCCATCCCCCCCCACAACCCCAACCCCAACCCTCAGCCAAATTTAACGGCCAAAAAAGGCCATCGCAAAATCTAATAAGTCTTAAAAAGAAAAAAAAAAACTATTTTTTTGATAACACGGTAAGACAGTCACCACTTTTTTCGGACACCTCGTTCGAGCGACAGATATCACTGCAAGGGACACGGGGCGAAGGAGCAGATTTCTTGAAGGTGGGGGCGGTGGGGGGGGGGGGTGGGGAGAGCGATAAACTAACTTCATCCGTAAGGTGATCAAAGCATCTCCTCTGCTCCGAGAACTGATAGCCCAACGTCCGCGGTGTCTGCAGCTCTTAGGAACTAAATGGGAAAGCCACGCGATTTGGGCAACTCAAGGTCACTACTCGAGGTGGGTGGGGGGGTTGGGGGCGGGCAGGGGGTGGGGGGCGGGCAGGGGGTGGGTGGGTG